TGAGCCTGGGAGGCAGAGACTGCAGTAAGCCGGGATTGCACCACAGTACTCCAGCCTGGGCAAGAGCCAGACTCCGTCTCAAAAAAAAAAAAAAAAAGAAGAGAAAAAATCTAATACTAATTAAAAGGTCACGAATGCAAAGATATGTGCATGCATGTGGGGTGAGAAGCAGAGTATCTGGTGAGCATAATATATTGAAAGCTAAAGTAAACTAGAATAAAAGCTAAAAGATCTGACCACAATACATGTCAGCTAATTTCTAGCTTAGTTTAACAGATCTTAGTTAAAAGTACTAATATACCACAAAATAACTTGATTACATTGTTCTTTCCAATACTGTAATACGAGTACAACTTTCACATGGATTTAACTCTCAATATATTTAACTGGTCTAATGTTAAATGTGAAGTATTGTGCTTCAAAAGACAACATCAAGAAAGTGAAAAACAACCCACAGACTGGGAGATACATGCAAAATATGTATCTGATAGGGAACTCTAAGAGTCTTATATATTCTCGACATAACTCTATAATAAAAAAGATGAACCCATTTAAAAAGGCAAAAGATCTCAATAAAGATTTCTCCAAAGAAGATACATAAACGGCCAGTAAGTATATGAAAAAAAATCAACATTAGTGGCCATCAGAGAAATAAAAATCAAAACCACAATGCAATACCCCTTCACAAACAGTAGGATAGCTATAATAAAGAAGACAGGCAATATAATAAAGAAGACAGGCAATTAATTAGTAGGGATGTGGAGAAAAGTAGAACTTCACATTGCTTGTAAGAATGTTAAAATCATGCAGCTGCTTTGGAAAAACAGTCTGCCAATTCCTCGAAAGGTTAAAAAGAGTTATGATATGACCCAGCAATGTACTGGTAGGTATATACTGAAAAGAAATGAAAACACATGTAGACAGAAACCTATGCATAAATGTTCACAGTAGCACTACTAAAAACAGCCAAAAAGTAGAACCAAATGTCCACCAAATAAGTGGATAAATAAAATGTGGTATAAGCATACAATAGGATATTATTTAGGAATAAAACAAAATGAAGTACTGATGCATGTTAGAAAAGCATGAACTGTGAAAACATGTTAAGTGAAAGAAGCCAGACCCAAAAGATCACATATTCTGGGCTTCCATTTATGTATGTCCAGAATGGGCAAATCCACAGAGAAAGGAGACTAGCAGGTGGTTGTCTCAGGCTGAGTGAGGAAGGGTTGGGGAAAAATCAGTAGTGACTACTAATGGGGACAGGGTTTCTTTTAATGGGTGATAAAAATGCTCTGAAATTGACTAGTGCTCTAAAATAGTGATGGTTGCACAACTCTGCGAACATATTAACAACCAGTGAATTATACACTTCAAATGGGTGAAGAGCATGGTATGTGAATTATATCTCAATAAAGCTGTTACTAAAAACAAAAGCGGCTGGGCGGGGTAGCTCACGCCTGTAATCCCAGCACTTTGGGAGGCCAAGGTGGGCAGATCACGAGGCCAGGAGATCGAGACCGTCTTGCTAACATGGTGAAACCCCATCTCTACTAAAAATAAAAATAATAATAATTTAAAAAAGCAAAATATACTATTCAGCAAAAGTTTATTAAACATTTCCAGTGTGCCACATGGTATGTGAAGCAAAGCCCAAAGCCTATGTATCAAGACACTTCTCAGCTAGGTGTGGTGGCTCATGCCTGTAATTCCAGCACTTTGGGAGGCCAAGGCAGGAGGATTGAGGCCAGGAGTTCGAGACCAGCCTGGGCAACATAGTGAAACCCCGTTCTTACAAAAAAATTCTAAAAATTAGCTGGACATGGTGGCTCATGCCTGTAGTCCCAGCTACTTGGGAGGCTGAGGCAGGACAATCACTTGAGACCAGGAGTTGGAGGATGTTATAGTATGCTATGATCACACCACTGCATTCCAGCTTGGGCAACAGAGCAAGACTCTGTCAATCAATTAATCTATCAATCTCCTAACCATCTGTAATTTGTATATAGTGAGATACAAATCTTTATTTCCTAATAGACAAATATTTCAACTCCATTTGCTGAATTCCTTTCCCACTGAATGACAATGTTATTTTTGTTATGAACTAAATTCCCTATAAATACATGGGTCAAATCTAAACTCTATTACATTCCACTCATCTATCTGCCCAACCTAAAGCAATACACACTGCATAACAGTTTCCATCAGAGATGGACCACATAAGATAATAATGGTTGTGCCATAAGATTATAATGGAGGTAAAAAATTCCTATTGCCTAGAAATGTCTTGGTGATCCTGATTGTGTGCAGGCCTAGGCTCCTATGTATATTTGTGACTTAATTTTTAAGAAAAAGTTAAAAAAATTTTAAATAGAGAACAGCTTATAAAATAAGAATATAAAGAACATATTTTTGTACAGTTGTTCAATACGTTTGTGTTTTAAGCTAAGTGTTAAATTACAAGAGTCAAAGAGTTAAAGTAAAAAGTTTAAAAACTAAGCTAAGATTAATTATTGAAGAAAAATATTTTATAAATTTCAATGTACAGTGTTTATAAAGCCTGCAGTAATAAACAGGAATGTCCTAGGTCTTCACATTCACTTGCCACGTACTCGCTGACTCACCCAGAACAACTTTCAATCCTGCAAGCTCCATTTATGGTAAGTGCCCTATAGAGGTGTACCATTTAAAAAATTGTCAGTGCTTTAAAAAAAAAAAAAAATTCTTCCACGCTGTATTTTTTACCATATCTTTTCTATGTTTAGATGCACAAATGCTTCCCACTGTGTTACAACTGCCTGTAGTATTCAGTACAGTAACATGTTGGATAGGCTTGTAGTCTAGGAGCAATAAGCTGTACCATATAGCCTAGGTGTGTAGCAGGCTACACCACCTGCGTTTGTGTGAGTATACTCATATGATGTTTGCACAAACAATGAAATCACCTAAGGATGCATTTCTTAAAATGTATTCTCATCATTAAGTGCCATATGACTACACCACATTGTTTGAATTACTATAGCTTTAAGATATGTTTTGACATCTGGTAGAACCAACACCTGCTGCCCACTATATACTGAAAATATTTTTTGGTTATTCTTGAGTTTTTACTGATTCTAAAGCTCATATATAAATCTGCAAGTTTATAAACACCCCTACTGAAATTTCTACTAGAATCTTATGAATTTATAAATAAGTTAGAAGATACTGCTCTACTTCATGCAGGTCTCTGCTAATGTCACCTAGAGCGAGGCCTTCCCTGTGCTCTATATGAGAGTGGCTCCCCTGGCACTTCCTACTTCCCTTAGTTTAGCTTTGTCTTATTTTTTTTTTAGAGCTTCTCATCATATGACATCTATATATTTTACTACATTTTTCCTGCCTTCTCTTCAACAACCCCCTCCCCGCCGCAATTTACCTAATAAGATATAAGCACCATAAAAGAGGGGACCTTAATTTGTTCATAGCTCTACCCATAACTCCTAGAACACAAAGAACGAGCTCTCTAAAATGTTCATAAAATAAACAAATCTTCAAAAGTAAATATTCCAAACGAGGAACACAGTATTACAATGAATACAGTATCACATTTTTTTTTTTTTTTTTTTAAGACAGGGTCTGGCTCTGGTGCCCATGCTGGAGTGCAGTTGTGAGACTACAGCTCACTTCAGTCTCTGCCTCCTGGGCTCAAGTGATCCTCTTGCCTCAGCCTCCTGAGTGCTGGGACTACAGGTGCATGTCACCATGCCTGGCTAATTTTTGTATTTTTGGTAGCGATGGGGTTTCGCATGTTGCCCAGGCTGGTCTCGAACTCCTGAGCCTAAGTGATCCATTGGCATTGGCCTCCCAAAGTGCTGGGATTATAGGCGTAAGCCACTGCACCTGGTCCCTCTTTATTTAGGTCTTATTTTTTTTGGTAAAGTTTTAGAGCTTTCTTAACATGGATTTTGTATTTTTAGTTTTATTCCTATTTAAACATTTTGGAAGAGATGGGGCGTGACTCACAATGTTGCCCAGGCTGGTCTTGAACTCCTGGGCTCAGGAGATCCTCCTGATTCAGCCTACCAAAGTACTGGGATTATAGGCATGAGCCACCATGCTTGGCCTTCTTTGTATTTTTGTTGGAATGTTATTATCTGCATATTTTGTGCTCTTATGCAGCCATTTTTAAGCTAGAAACAGAAAAAAAAAAAAAAACCAAAACCCTTATTAAACTTGAGAAATGAGTACAAACTAGCCTTCATCTAGTTCAGGACTCCTACCATACCCACTTCTTTTCACCTACTTTCTAGTCACAAAATAACTTTTCATCATTCTGAGCATACCATGTCCTTCCATGACTCCTTGCCTCTGATGTCATTCTGAGGCAGGGCTGAAATGAGAGACATCAGAGTGAGACCTTGCTTTAACTTATTTTGAAGCCAAAGCTACCAAATTCTATTCTAAGAAGATCAGGCATGTAACAGTGTTTTTAAATTGCAGGCAGCAACCCATTAGTGGATCACGGCCATCATTTAAAAACGCTAATCTGAAGAGTATCAACATATATCACACAGAGTGAGGTCTTTTACTGCTTTATGAAACTTCTGTTACATGAACACATGTGTGATGAAAAAAACTTATGTGTCAGTAAAACAAAATTGGAAATACACTGACATTTATAAAATGTACTGAGAAAGAGAAACCTGGCTTAAGTGTGTGGAGAGGGGAAGATGGAATAGGACGATGAGGGAAAGGAAGGAAGTAATAGCTAGAAGATTCTAAGAAGTGTTATTCAAGTGTGAGTCAGCAAAGACCTCAACTGAGCCAAAGTAGACAAGAGAAAGAGTTCTAAGGAAAATTTACAAAGACTCTACCTCTATAAAATGACATCGAACTATTTGAAAAAAAGAAATCACATTTGCTTTTACCCATTTTATTCAAGATCATTTTCCTGAGAAATATTAAACATTAAAACTTGGAATGTTTTGCTTTAAAACCGCATTTCGAATCATTCTTACCTTGCTCTCTCTTTCTAATTCACTTCGCAGCCATTCAAAGTCACTGTATCTTCTTCTAACAGTAGATTCTTTCAGCTTGAAAATAGGAAGATTTGTCTGAAACAAAAAAAGTTACTCCTAAATTGAAGTACATTAAGGAAACGTCAAAAAAATGGAGGAATGGGGGAATCTAGGCTTGCCAATTGATAATATGGCAAATCTGATTACCTTACCAAAAGAAATCATGACTTTCTTTTTCTTTTTTTTGGGACAGAATCTCGCTTTGTTGCCTAGGCTGGAGAGCAATGGCACGATCTCGGCTCACTGCAACCTCCACCTCCCAGGTTCAAGTGATTTCTCCACCTCAGCCTCCCGAGTAGCTGGGATTACAGGCACCCACCATCATGCCCAGCTAATTTTTGTATTTTTGTAGAGATGGGGTTTTACCATGTTGTCCAGGTTGGTCTTGAACTCCTGACCTCAGGTGATCTGCCCACCTCGGCCTCCCAAAGTGCTGGGATTACAGGCATGAGCCACCGCACCCGGCCAAAATCATGAGGTTTTTAAGATGACCTTTTACCCATAACAAAAAAAAAACTTTGCTAGTTCTTTTTTTTTTCTGAGACAGAGTCTCGCTCTGTCGCCCAGGCAGAGATGCGATCTTGGCTCACTGCAACCTACGCCTCCTGGGTTCAAGTGATTCTCCTGCCTCAGCCTCCCAAGTAGCTGGGATTACAGGCACCTGCCACCAGGCCTGGCTAATTTTCTTGTATTTTTAGTACAGGCGGGGTTTCACCATGTTGGCCAGGCTGATCACAAACTCGTGATCTCACGTGATCTGCCGCCTCAGTCTCCCAGAGTGCTAGGCTTACAGGCCTGAGCCACTGCCTGGCCCACTAGTTCTTTAAAAGTATTTACACAAGAATACAACTTTTAAATGTACCTTTGCATGCATGCTTTTGGATGTCATTCTGCCTGGGGCTATCCGCATAAATGTAGGTCATTTTCTTATTATTTTGGTGAGCTTTAAAAATGTCAACTAAGCAGGGGTGAAAAAAGGTTAGCTCTTGACTATTCTTCTAGCTAGTACCTCAGCAAACAGTCCTCATAGGGGAAATACAACTAACCTTTTCAATTTTAAAATTTAATTTTCTTGGTGCTCATTCATTATAGCAAAACCCCAACTTATGTCTCAATGCCTATCACTGCCCATTGATGTAGAAATTCTTTTTCTTCTCCCAGAGAGAGGGTCTCACTGCATTGCCCAGGCTGGATTTAAACTCCTAGGCTCAAGCAATCCTCTCGCCTTGGCCTCCCAGGTAGCTGGGACTGCAGGGTCATACCACTGTGCTGGCTCACTTTACTTTATTTTATTTTTTGAGACAGAGTCTGCTCTGTTGCCCAGGCTGGAGTGCAGTGGCACGATCTCGGCTCACTGCAAGTTCCGCAGCCTAGGGTCATGCCATTCTCCTGCCTCAGCCTCCCAAGTAGCTGGGACTACAGGCTCAGCCGCCACGCCCGGCTAATTTTTTGTATTTTTAGTGGAGACGGGTTTCACCGTGTTAGCCAGGATGGTCTCCATCTCCTGGCCTCATGATCCACCCACCTCAGCCTCCCAAAGTGCTGGGATTACAGGCGTGAGCCACGGTAACCCGTCCACTTAGCTACTTTTAAATGAAAACGAAATATTTTGTTAAGAGGACTAGATTAGATCTTGCATAAAAAAAGACCTAAATAAAACATTATTCTTAACGGCCACCTAAAAAATGCCAAAACCAGCAGGGAAAGTGCTGCATACAGTGTCTGTGGTCTTACCACTAGTAGGAAATTAAATTGTACTCAGTAGACCAAGCTCATAAACCCAGAGCTTTAAAAGCGAGGGCAAGAACCGAAAACATAACACCCAGTACTTGGAAGTTACACCAGAATGTAAGAAAATTTCTGGAGACTTTGTTCTTTATAAGATTGCAAAGGCTACTTGTTGCCACTTCAGTCAACTTCTAAATTAAAAAAAAAGTAACAAGAAAGATTTCTATTATCTTTTACTGGATTCCTTTTAAAGAAAAAATATGCTAGGCCTGGTGGGGTGGCTCACGTCTGTAATCCCAGCTGTTTGGGAGGCCGAGGTGGGAGGATCACGAGGTCAGGAGTTTGAGACCAGCAAGAGATCAGCCTGACCAATAGCCTGACCAATACGGTGAAACCCCGTCTCCACTAAAAATATAAAACTTAGCTGGGCATGGTGGCGGGCGCCTGTAATCCCAGCTACTTGGGAGGCTGAGGCAGGAGAACTGCTTGAACCCGGGAGGTGGAGGTGGCAGTGAGCCAAAGATCGCTCCACTGCACTCCAGCCCGAGCGACAGCAAGACTCTGACTCAAAAAAAAAAAAAAAAAGATGTTACCAAATCCAATAAAAAATGGTTTATGACTAAAGACACTAAAGACTATTAGGAGTGGTATGAGACCAGTATTTTATAATTAAGAAGAGATTTCAGGCCTGGCACGGTGGCTCATGCCTGTAATCCTAGTGCTCTGGGAGGCTGAGGTGGGAGGACTGCTTGACGCCAAGAGTTACCAGCCTGGGAAACATAAAAAGATTCCATCTATACAAAAAACAAAATAAATTTACTGGGCATGGTGGCATGTGCCTGTGGTCCTAACTACTTGGGAGGCTGAGGTAGGAGGATCTCTTGAACCCAGGAGTTCAAGACTGTAGTGAACTGTGATTGTACCACTGCACTCCAGCATGGGCAATGAACGAGACCCTCTCTCAAAAAAAAAAAAAAAAAAAAGAAGATAGATTTTATTTTATTTGAGACAGGATCTCACTCTAACCCAGGCTGGAGAGCAGCGGCATGATCACAGCAGGGTCAAGTGATTTCTCCCACCTCAACCCCCTGGGTAGCTCAGCCTACAGGCACATGCCATCACACCTGGCTAATTTTTGTACTTTTGGTAGAGACAGGGTTTCACCATGTTGCTCAGGCTGGTCTTGAACTCCTGAGTACAAGGAATCCACCTGTATTGGACTCCCAAAGAGCTGGGATTACAGGCATGAGCCACCGTGCCCAGCCAAAAAGATTTTAAAATGTGCAAAATATCACAGAGTTTGTAGGTGACAGAAATGACTTAACACAATAACTAATGCCATACTCTACCAAAAATACTACTCAACACTATTTATTCTCTTAGATTATATTCTGTCTGTTAATTCAGACCTTGAATTAATTAGCACAGAATTTGCATAGAACTGCAAAGTGTTTTACAACTGGAAGAAAAAAGTTAAGTGCCACCTGAAGGAAAGACTGGCTTCCTACTGTGTATACAGGGACATCACCTTGTAATATTAACTCCTAAGAAAGTTCTACCTATTTGTTAAGCTTAATGCCACTGGTAAATAGCTGTCACTCAACACAATAAAAGCTTTTTATTAAGGACCTTACATCCATTTTGTAGTGGTCTCAATTTTTTCCTAAGTGTATTAACTTCTCTATGTTGTATACCTTATAGCTTAGAATTCTCAACAGATGCTATTGGGCATAACAGTGTATAGGTTTCAAGCATGAAACCAAATCTCACAAGAGATTTAAAAGCACTTGAATTTTCTTTCCCAGGTAACCACAACATTTGTTCATTGTATTAATGACTAAGGAAATAATTGCACCTAACAAGACTCTTATTATACTAAAAGTCAAGCTTATATTTAAAGATGCTGGCTTGTTGTACAGAGGGTATTCTCATTCCCCACAGGGAATAAAATTAGGTCCCCTGGAGAGTAGAATAATTCCCAGAAAGAAAGCACTGGATTATTTCTCTCTAATTTCACCTATTGGCTTTTTAACCAAGTTCACCCTTCCGCATTAAAATATTAAGTCTTTGTAAGTGTCTGAAAGATAAAAAGGCCTTTACAGAGCTGAGTGTTTTCTGCAGGTGAGATTTTACATTCTGAATTCCCTCCTCTCAAATTACTTTACAAAGGGGATTAACTGCTCTCTTTATTCAAATACGTTAAGATCAAGCTTGTGAAAAGAGTCCCCTAAGAATTTTCATACTTCTGGGTACGGAAGTCTATAAAGTTAATCTCTGAAACAACATATCAAGCTTACAGGTACAATGTTGAGAGAAGAGTGCCAATTCAGCTCATTTTACCTTCCATTTTCCCTTTTGAACTTTTGACACAATCATGATTATATCTGATTCACTCTAATAGAAAGGGGAGGGGTGATGGGGGAAAAGTCCTTTCCCTTCTATGATTAGCTAATAGTTTGATAGTTTATATACTTAGAGGATCATGATTAGCTTAAGAAAGTTCTTTTAGTTTTCTTAACTGGTTATGATTTCTTTTTGCATGAGGACTTCTTTAGAGTTTAAAGTCACATCAAGAAATTCGAACATCACTTGCCCATTACATATGCAGTGGTTAACTTAGCTTGTTTAAACATCTTCCTGATCATTACAAGGACTTGTAATTCAACGTTACCGATTAAAATAAGTAAGTGGAAAATGTGGGGGTTTTTTGTTGTTGTTTGTTCACTGCTGAAACTCCTGTGATTGGTCACTTTCAACTTACTCAACTTTTATAAAATGACTGAAGGGAGGAGAGGTTTTTTACCTACAGCTTCAGGAGGACTAAACTATTATTTACTGATCATCTATAAAAGGCACCATGCTAGATAAGGTAGAATCATTATTTATAATGATGAATAAGATGCAGACCTGGCCCTTATGAAACATATACCAACCAAGGAGGTTAGAAAATAAGCATATAAAAAGTTGAATTTCCATGGTTAAAAATACTACAAACTGGCTGGGCATGATGGCTCAAGCCTGTAATCCCTGTACTTTGGGAGGCCAAGGTGGGCGGATCATCTGAGGTCAGGAGTTCGCAAACAGCCTGGCCAACGTGGTGAAACCCTGTCTATACTAAAAATACAAAAATCAGCCAGGCGTGGTGGCGGGTGCCCGTAAGCCCAGCTACTTGGGATGCTGAGGCAGAACTGCTTGAACCTGGGAGGTGGAGGCTACAGTGAACCAAGATTGCGCCATTGCACTCCAGCCTGGGCAACAAGAGCGAAACTCTGCTAAAAAAAAAAAAAAAAAAAAAATTAGCTGG